GTGGATCTGACTAGACTTCTAACACTTAAAATGAAGAAATATGCTCTTGGCTAAACTTTCTTCCATTGAATAGAACTCTTCACAAAGCTTTTGTGATTAATGTGAGACAGCTCCATTTTAAGGTTGTCCGTTCACCGGAGATTCCACGTTACCGTGTCTTACCGAGCCATCTGCCTGGCCCTTGGATCAGCTTCTCCAGTGGCTGGCTGCGTATTGGATTACCCTGGATGCTGGCCTTGTCCGAGGGAATGGCATTATAACTGAGCCATGCAATTTGCATAGCTCTCTGGCTCAAAAATGGAGAAAGAGGGGGGATGGGTCACGAGCATATAAATCAATCGAAATGTGGAGCTGTATTCTATATTTCATTTCATTCCATCAACATGGCTATGCCGGCATGGCTCCTGTTGGTTTTTCCGGGATGTTGAGTCACACAATCCGCGAAAGTCCTGCTGCAGCAGGAGCTTACAGCAACAACATTCGGCGGGGCTTTTGTCGCCTTTTGTTGGGTCCTCAAATTGCTGCCAATTTGTTTGTGGCTAGCTACCATTTTGGTCGTTTCTTTCCTTCGCAGCCTCGCGTTTTATTTTTCCCAGCAACCCAGCATCGCAGCATTGTCCATCTATGGGTTACCATGGTTTTTGGGTTGAGTTGGGTTGGGTTTATTTTTTGTGGGCCCCCTTCGCTGGCATTGCATTTTGTATTTCGCATGTATTTTCCGGGAAAGGAAAAGGGAATGGGAATGGGAATGGTGGGTCTGGAGTGAGTCTGGGTCCCGGCTGTCGCTGCCGTTGTCATTTGAGGTCAGTTTAAATGGTTTCCTGTCAGTTGCGGTCTTCGGTTTACCAGCAAACGGGCAACAGCAGCAATGCCGGCCATCATTTTGCATACGTCGCACAATATTCAATAAAGTATTCATTCATATTTCTGCAGGGATTCGTTGGGTATTTTTTTCTGCGTTTTTTTTTTAACTGTCTCTGGCAATAACTCTTCAAGTTATCGGCCTTTTTTTTCTCCCTCTATATATATTTTGTTTTCCAAACCATTTTGCAATTCTGTTGCAATTGCGAATATTTAGCCTTGCAGCTCGGTTCCAGCGCTCCAGTTGCAAGTTATGGCCTCCAAAAAATAAAAAGAATCGCTTTGCTATGCTGCATAATTAAGCGCATTTTCTTCTGGCATGAAAATGAACACCTCAAGGTGTCGTAGCAGCAAATGCATTGAATTCAATACGACAGCTACGAAATGAGATTGTGGCATCGTGGTGTTGCAGTTGCAGTTGCACTGCTGCCTTTGCCTTTTGCTCATTTACGTTTTATTTTATGCCACAAATACCACAAGAATTGCATTGCAACACACACACTGCTAGTGACTATGACTGACTGACTGACTGGCGTCGACGAATGTGACACCATGGGTTAGCTCGAGTGGAAATGCAGCAGCAGCAGCAACATCAGAAGCCCTATGCATTTGCCACGCTGTTTCTTTCTTGGTTAGAGTCTCTTAGTTTTTTTACCCACTGTTTTGTGTTTTTGGGGCCAAGCACTTGAACATGATAGGAGCTTAGCCGAGTCAGCCAAGCCAAGCGGAGTTTTGTGGCAGCCAAACACGTAAGTGGCACATGCGCGGCGTAAAATTGCAAATGCCAGCAGCAGCAGCAACTGCGTTAATAATACGGCTGTCTAGCTGGAGAACCAAAACGGAGTCTCTTGGCTACCTGACACAAACGCACAAGCACACACACCTCTCGTCCTTTTCGGACGTCCCATGCGGCGTATGCGTAATGTTGCCTGGACAGCTGACATGACTGACTACTTTCCTTCCCTTTCCTTTCCGTTTGTGACTGCATCCGATTGGGCTTTTTTGGGGTCATGGGACATCAATCCGGATGCTGAAAGGGGGATCAGAGAAGGCAGGGGGTCAATTTTGATTGATGGCCAAACAATTAACGAATTAAAGGTGTTACTTTTCATTGACTCGCAAAAGTGGGTCATTAAAAGTAAAATGATTGTGTGTAATTTATACATTTGTGCATCTGTCTATCCGCAGAAATTTGTCATGTATTTAATATTTTACAATTACAATTATAAAATATTTGCGCCTGATTTTGTTATCACGTTATAAAAACCACAAATAAATTAATTCCTATAAAATCCTGATCAAACATCTTAAAATATTTATTTAATTTTCTTGAATGAAATACCATTTTTGTTGGAATGAAAATTAATACATATTTGAGAGAAATAAATTGTTGTAAAAACCTTTAACTATTTATTAAGCTAAATTATCACTGAACAATTAGGCCCCAATATCTAAAGCCCTTTTTTTTTATTTCAGTTAATGGTTATTTTTCACACATTTGTGTGTTTTGAAGATTATATTTTGTATCTAGTATTTAAGTATTTTTCAGTACTTTCCAGGTATGAAGTATGATTCATTACCATTCATCGCCGCACTCTTATTAATCAATATTACCTTCCTGGCCGCGCTCAACGCTAATGTAGCAATTCGAATTGCCTGGCGATGACAGAACTGAGAACCGATCCGAGTAGAATAGAATGGGGCCGGGCCAAGTCCTGTCCATAAACAGAATGACATGGCAGCCAATTAATGTCTACCATGTCACGGGTTTTGCCGTACTGTGCTGCCCTCTTTGCCATATTCCATATTCCCTAACTTGGCTGCTAACGAACCTTGGACCAACCGTCGTCATCATCGTCGTCTTCTGTGCCAAATGGGCAATTTGTTGTCGTTTATATAAGGCGCATTCTGTGCATTTTCATTGTTATTATTGCGCCATCTCTTCTCTTCCCTCTACTCTCTATTCCCCGTCTCTTTCTCCTGCCCAGCTAGCTGTCTCTTTCTGTGGTTGCTGCTTCTGCTGCTATCTTCCCTGCACTTCCTGCTGGCCACACTGGTGTATATTAATTTTGATGCTGGGGCCCAGAGAAAAGTGCACATTTACATGCAGAGCGGCATTTGTAATTTGTGGACTCTTAGCCAAGTACCTCCGACTGGCCACGCCCCCTTTTTCTTTTTGGTGGGAGTATGGACCATAAGACCATGGTAGTTCGTAATTGAGTTCATGTCATGTGCCTGTCGAAGTCCACCCCCTCTTTTAATATTCCCTGCCAAAAACTGCTGAGAGTTGCACTTAAAAATATTGTTGCATATTTATTTTTTTCGGGAGGGGAGAAAACAACAAGAGCATTTCAAAAATCTCTCGCGGGGCCAGCTTAGCTGGGGGAAACTGAGAATTTCTATAAATCCGCACTTATTCCCAAAACAATAAAACGCGCAACAATTGCGCCCATTCGCTCTAAAATATGCAACAGCAACACAACCCAGAGGCGGTGGGTTTAGAGGGGTCTTAAAGAGGGGCAGCAACAGCTATAGCCCATATTAGGAATGCCATAATTCAGCGGCGATGGCCGGCAGGACGGCAGTCCTCGGCTCGAGTCCCTGCTAAGCCGACTCTTGTAGTCATTTGCCTGGGACCTAGACAAAAGCAGCGGCAGCAGCAGCAACACCAGAAACAGCAGCAACATCAGCAAAGGCGGCAACTGCAACACAGTGGGCACCAGCAACATACTGAGAAAAATCACCAACATTGATCTTTAGCTAAATAGCTTTTCCTTGATAAATTGTTTCTAAATATGACGAATTAAGAGGGCTTTAAAAGTTAATAAGGAAATAGGTTTTAAGAATATTTACTTATATGGGAATTTTCAATTAGGGATAAACGCATTCTTATAAAATAGTGATTAATTTAATAGTGAATTATGAGTTTGGACCACAACTTGAGTTAAGCATGATTCATACTTATGATTTATTCAAAAGAAATGTTTTATATAAGAGGACCATGACAAAGATTTTTAGTTTGTAAAACCCATAACTTACACATATTTTTTAAAATAGTATTACTAGTCTTTACTTTGGTATTTACCTTAACATATATATACATACATAGATATAGATATTATTGATCCCATAAATCCTGTAAATATTTATTGATAAAGATAAAACCAAGTTAACTTAAAAATATTTATTATTTAGTTCATAAAATTACTAAAGAACTTTCCAAAACTTTTCGCCCATGTGTATTAGCTGCAGAATGTATGCCAGCAATTTAGACAACTTCGTTGGGGAGCGCAAGCTGGCTAAATTATCAAAAAATGGAAAAGCAAAGAACAAAAACAAAAGGAAGCGATAACTTGCTTCGCTTTTGGACCTGCAGGGATGGAGGCGAAGGGGTGAAAGGTGAGGGAGGGAGGGAGCAATTTTCGGGGGCGTGGGCACACAAACACAATAAAACTTATTTACGAGTCACGACGGGGTGGATGCAGTGGCCCTGTGTAGCGTAGTTCATTGTAATGCACTTAAGGGGGGGTCAGGGGCGTCAGGCGTCGGGCGTCGGAAGGGGGTGAACAAGATGCGCGCAAATGATATGCAAAAAAGGGGGGCGAACGTTTCGGTTAAAGGGTAAATGAGTGAGCAGCGTGAGGCGCATGAATGAAAGCGGCCCCCGGCTGGGAAAATCGGGGGAAAGCGGCGGAAAATGAAGGCGGAGTGGCGACAGAGAGGCCAGGGTAATATAAATGAAGGCAACCAGGGGCAAGCCAGAGAGCAGCAGCAATAATATAATAACAACAGACACGAGCAAGTGCAAAATGGGCACTGAAGAAAAATGTAAAAAAAAGGTTAAAGATCGGAATATATTTATTTTATTAGGGAAATAATTTTATAAGCTTGTTATCTTGAAGTGTGTTATAAATCTGATATATTAAAGCACGAGTATTTTTAAATGGATATTTTATGAATTAAAACTTTAAAAAATTATTACAATAAAGTTAACAGACTGTAATCTAAACAAGAACTTAATTTGGTATATTAAATATTAAATATATTTTTGTTATTTTTTCTACTTAAAAATCTATATTATTTCCTTTTGTTAGCAATCTCAACTGATGACAAATCCTCTTTTCCTTTTGCCATTTCAGTTGCCCAACGAAGAGAATCGGAACTCAGTCCGCGGCCATTTCCCTCTGCAAGGTAAGCGCAAGTCCCTTGTATCCGCTGGTAATGAGTCCGGCCACGCCTCTTTAAGTTTTAATAAGCGCGCCCATTACGCATACGCCCCATTAGCGTGCGCAACATGCGTTGAGCGGCTCAATTTTCGTTCAGTGCACATGGTGCAAGAAGGTCCAAAAGGGATGGGCCATAAGATGGAGGGGATTCGAGAGTGGGAGTGGAAGTAACCGGAGTGGGAGTTGGGTCCTCGTCACAGTACGTAAAGTTCTCAGTAGTCGGTGAAATTGCTGCGCGTCTTGTTTATTGTTGTTGCTACTTGGTTGTTGTTGCTGTTGCAATAAGTGTTGGCTAGTTGGCTATATTCCTTGGAAAGGTGCGTAATATTAAAAAAAAAATTGCCTTTTAAAATAAAAATTTATTTACAAGTAAAAATAATAACACATAATTTTTAAAATATCTAATCTTAAAAGTAAAGAACTAAAAAAAATAAATAAAAATATCTCAGGCCTCTCTCAATTCTAAAGTTGCAAAAATAATAGTAGCTATTTTTATCAATTTGCAATGATTGATTTGGCAACTCTGGCTGCTAGTGCTGCCGCTCCTGTATATGAAGCTCCTGTATGCGTTGCTCCTGCAGACCGAAGACTGTTGCCTTTATTATTTCGCTTTATTTTCGACTCATGCTGCATGCTGCTGTTGCCTCTGTTGCAGCATCTTCTGCCGTGTTTCAGCCCCCTGGGCTGCCCACATTTATGGCCGGCAATACTTTGTGCGATTATTTATTCGGTTTCTTTGTTTGCCCGCTGCTCGGTGGGTCGAAAAACCATATGAGCGGCCGGTCGCGACTGCACATGCAAATTGGCAGCGGGCGGGTGCCAAGGCTCATTAAAATGTACGCCGTACCAAAAAAAAAGAAACACAAAAAAATATGATGAAGATGTGGAAAGTGGCAAGAACGGAGAAGAAAAGCAAACAATATGCATATCCAGCGAAGGACGCCTTCAAGGACATCGTCTCCTGCGGGTGTTTCTGCGTGTGTGTGAGTGGGCAAACGGGGGGTAATCGTGCGTGTAATAAACGATAATCCATTATATATCAATTTTTATCGCACCCAAAGTCGGGACTAAGAGCATTGTCGCTATACTTTATGGCTCTTCGACTTGTGGGCGAAAGTTGAGTGGCCAGGCTTAAAGTGGGCATGGTCCTCAAATTAAGTGCCCTCCTGCTGACAGCTTTATATGGTCTTCTTAGTGCAGGCGGTCGATTGATTTCGACTTGATTTTAATGCCACCAAATAAGCTTAGCCAGAAGCTTAGTCATTAGCTTTTCTGCTTTTATAGTTTTGGTAGCTAAATGGGAATTATTTATAGTTGAATGATTAGGAAAAAAATCAGTACTTGATTAGTGATTTATGTCCGAAATATAAAGAGTCGTTTGGAAACTATTAACAAAATGTAGGTAATTTAATCAAGAACGTAAACACTTTAATAGTTGTAAAAGGAGCTCTAAAAATAAGAATAAAACTGATTAGGGGTCAAGAAAAAATTAAAATTTTTTTAAATTAACTGGAAACGTGATATAAAATTACCCAATAAACCATGACCTTTTTTTTTAATGTTACCTCCTTTAGAAAGCATGACTTCCTTTAGTTACTGCAGTAAATTACCCGTAATTCATCTAGTACTCATTAGCTGCAAATCAGAGAATTTTTTTGAAATAAAATGAACCCACTGATGACCGCAAACAGAAATCAGTTTAACTGTAATGCGTCACGCCAAATCGTAGTTAGAGTTTCGGGTTCGACTTTGGGCCAGAACTTTTGACAGTAACTGTAAACGCTAAGCGCGTGTTTTTTCTATTTCGCCGGCTACTAATTAGCTGCCGCAAAATTGACGCATCATCATCCTGCTCATCATCGAGGGCAAAACTCGATACCTACGAGGGAACCAATATTATATATTATAGCGCCTCGCTGTGGATCCCCCGCACTTTCCCGGCATTTCGCCCACTCACTGTTTGCATGTGGCTAGCGGGCCGTGGTTAATTAGGAAGCAATATTTAACGTTAATGCGAAATAAATCGCAGCCAGAGTAGAAAAAGTCGATGGCGATGGCCGAGAAGAAGTCGCTCGCTCACTTAATTATGTTGACGTTTATGCCGGCATCTGCCATCAGACACCCACACAATGGTGGGGAAAGAAGGGATGTAGGTTCCCTAGTTGTATTGGCAGCGAGAGAACCCAGCAGATCCCCAGCGGTAATCATTATTAATGATGACTTTTAGTTTACAAGCTAATTATTTGTTACTGTTACTTCCACGGCCACTGGAAAAGAAGTGCGGGGGCGGAAATGTGTTCAGAACATTCGCGGGTTTTACACTCACAAATAAAAAATGTAATCTTATTAACTGTAGAATATTTATCTAAAAATAGAAAAAGAATTAGTAGCTATGTATGAGTAATACACTTCATATTTATTTTCATTTTATTCTATATCTGATCTTTAAATAAAAGTTCGATGCCAACAGAAATATTCCACTCACATAAAAAATTATAATTCACACTGTATAGATTTTAATGACATCTTCATAGAATTAAAGAAAAAAATATTTTACATTTCATGGTATTTATTATATCTGCTTCGTTATTTAAAAAATAAAGAACTTTTAAAATATTTCAAGCTTATAACATCCTGAATAATTTACTAATTAAATTAAACAAAAACACCTATAATTTTTCTAACTTTTTAGCTTCTAATTTGTCTAGCTTCCTTTTTTTAAGTGACCTCTTTAGTTTTTTTAAGTGCCAACTCGGCTGATTCTCAATTTTTAGCTTTCGGCGCCTTTCGCTTTGATATCGTGGTCGTAATTAATTTATTATATAGCCTGGCAGCGCTCCGGTTTTTGTTTGGGCTCTTATTAATTACCATTTGGTGTGTGAAATTTTTGCATATTATGTTTGCCAGCACAGAGCAGATTGTGTAAGCCGACAATATTGAAATTGTTATCCCCAACGATCTTTGATCTGAAATCTGAAATGGTAATCTAAACGATTTCAAAATGTAAATTTAAGCTGCTTAAAGAAATATGACCGGCACAAAAGAAGTCAGAAGTCGAGGGAACTGTGTGTGTTTGTATGTAAATCAATCGCTACGCCCACAGTACACAAAAACTAGAGGCGGTCATAAATTAACAGACGTCAGCGAATCGGGCTAACAATGAATGGATTTGGAAATCAATTCGGGAATTGGGTCACTAGAATTGCGCAGACGCAGCGGAAGTTGAATTGGCCGAGATTGGTGGATTTTAGAGAGTGACTAAGTGGAATAAACGGGTAGACATAAATTTAGCTAATGTTTCCTTCATTCAGTGATCTAGTTTGCTTTAAGATCGTTGAGCGGAAAGATATATTGAGATAAGCAGCGACCTGGTTTTTATTGAATCTTTGCAAAATGTTAGCATTTAGTGATTATAAAATTATACCTATAATTATTTGGACGTTTTGAATGTTAAAATGGCATACCAAAGCTATACTATTATTCTGCAATTATTAAGTTAAATAAATATTAAATTTAAATAAATCTACTAAATACTGTTTAACCCACAAAACAGAGAAATTAATCATTATAGCACACATTTAATTTTACAATCTACCCCAAAACACTCACCGCTATGAATAAATCAACGTGCAATGAACTAAAGCGAATGAGTTGACGTATTATGTACACAACAGTAATTATGAAAATTTGCATTAATTCTCTTGGCTGGCAAAAAGTCAACTTTTGATGACGTTCATTCCACACAGACAATGGTGTCAACTGTGACGAAATTTATTTCATGATTTGTTTTGGTCTTGCGTTTCAAAATTACGCAAACGATCGCACAACGACAGCCAAATAAAGCGAAAAAAAGAAAAAATCAACAGAAATGTCTGCAAAGTGCGTGGGAAGCGGTTAACACGACATCGAGAAGGCAAAACAAAAGCTTGAAACCCAAACAGTAGCAAAAAATGATTACAAAATAACAACAATAAGGGAAACAATGCAAGATGACGACAAATTAGATGCAGCAAAGGTAAAATTAAATAAAAATGCAATTAAAATGCACAGCATTTTCTGCAGCGAAAAAGGGGGCGGGTAGCTCACGTTGGGAATAATTAAAACAATTTTCATTTTCGCCGCTCGCTGTGTGACACAAAACAAAAGCGAAAGTGTTGAAATATTTATGCAGAAAATGAACAGAAAAAGTGAGCAGAGCAAAAGGTAGCGGGCGACAAGTGTCTCCAGCAATATATAAAGTACGATATAGTGTTAACCGACCAACAACAAGTCGAATTTTAATTCGCATTTTTAATGGCAACACTACGAGCTGTAGAGCGACTCCAACTGGAGTGGCTTGAAGAGTTTTGCATACTTGTTTGACTAAACGAAACCAATAAATAGGTTTTTAGTTGGGACTTTTCTTGTAGGACATGATAAGCTGCAGTTAAAAGTTTATTAGAATGGATTAATAGCAGTTTTAATTTAATGGATTTTTAATTTTTCTGGTTATTTAACGCGTTGAGTTTTAAATGAATTTTGGCATTGAAATCTTTTTCCATCTATTTCTTATCGACGTAAAAATTAAGTATACATTTTTTTGTATGCAAATTTTTGAAAATATAAAAAAAAATTAAAATATTTTTGTTTATTTATTTATTTATTTAAGTACCTAATTTTATTTATATTTTTTTTTTATAATATTTATTTAAGCAGTTTTCCGAATGGTATGTAAATATTTCCTTAATCTAACTAAATTGAAATTTTTTTTAAATTTTATATAAGCCGGTAATGCGGTAATTTAAAAAGAACGTTCTAACTTTAGGAGCAACCCTCGCCACATGCATTTGTATTTTAAACGATGCACGAAATGTGTGACTAATTTCTGCCGTTGTGCTCCAGTGTTGTTTTTGTCCATTGTTGGACGATGTTGCTGCTTTGTTGTTGCTATGTCGTTGGTGTTGCTGCTGTGTCGTTGGTGTTGCC